GGGGGTGAGCTACAGTGCCACAGGGAATTTAGTCAAAAGCGATGCGGAGATGAAAGCAGTATGTCATGAGAAAACATTGGAGGAAAATTTGCAGTCATCAGCGTGGAAAGGGGCGCATGGGGCTTTCTAACATGACATCCATCTGGAATGTAAAGCAGAGTCCACCCGTCAGTGGCTGCAGCAGACAAATGTGAAGGTTCTGGAGTGGCCACCACAGTGTCCTGACCTCATCATTAGACTTTTTTGGGGAGATCTTAAACGTGCAGTTCGCGCTCAACAACCAAAGAATTTACAGGCGCTGGACTTACCAAGTGGAAGGGGCAGCTGTGCCACATGAGGAAATAAAAAGGAGCTCATTCAAAACCATCATAAATACTAAAGCGGGCAATACACAATGTCACCTATTGGAGGATTTTGAGCATATGAGAAACGTCCTAAAAACTTTAACAAAGTGCGTAACATGCATCCATGACATTCAGCTTCTCCACACCTCAGATATTACCAGCAATTACCCGGTATCTGCATTGTATTACACAGAGGGAGCAGATGTCCAAATTCAGCTGCTCCTGTGTCCAAGACAATTGTAGATAGTCTGTGAGTTTCATTAAAGTGACATTAAACCCTCAGATTCTTTAACATAAAACAACACTGTAATGTGCGCCTTACTGTAATCCATGGTTGTTTCCATTCTCTTTGCTGCTCTTCCTTTTAAATCCGTATCTCTTCTCATGCTGGGGGAGAACTTCTGTTTTGCAGCAGACTGCCTTGTCTCTGGAATGGATACACGGTGTCTGTGTGTAGGTTCACAACCTGAGCCAGCACTACAGGAAGTGGCACTCAGCTGCAAAGGGAAGTTCTCCCCAAGCATGAGAAGACATGAGGATTTAAAAAGGAAGAGCAGCAAAGAGAAGGGAAACAACCATGGATTACAGTAAGGCGCACATTACAGTATTGTTTTATGTTAAAGAATCTGAGGGTTTAATGTCACTTTAAGTAAATACAATGTAACACAATGTCATGTATTGTTTTATTGTATTTGAATGTAGATAAAGGGGTATGACCTCCGATCTATATTGTTTTATCTAGGGCAGCATTTCTCTACCTTCTTTTAGTTGCAGCACCCTTTAAAAGTCTCCAAAAATCTCAAGATACCCCAATTTATAGTGATACAAATGTAAATGTAAAAAAATTAAATATGGTTTCCCCCAAAATCTGTAACAAATTCTTATCCTGGAATGGAGTTCTGGTATGGATTTTAAGGGGGGATCCTATGCAACAAAAATAAACAACTCTACACATAGAGTTCCCCAGTAGCCCCCTTTACATCAGGAGCCCCTTCCCCTTCACTTCAGAAGCCCCTCCCCTTCATGTCAGAGTCCCCCCTACACATCAGAAGGTATCCCCCACTTTCACATCAGGAGCCCATCTTTCAATCCTCCTCACAGTATGGCTAAGGTAGCATTGCAGGGGGCAGGAATGGATGGGAGTCCTTCTGATGCTCGGGAAGGTGCTGGCTGTAACACCCCAAACCCCCCCCCCGAGTAGCAGCATGTATTTCCATGGTGCTGCTGGTGGCCGGCTCATCTGCACCATGGAAATGCATGACACTGTGTGAAAATTTGAAGGCACCCCAACAAAGCCAAAAGGCGCAACAGTGTGCCCCGGCATCCTGCTTGAGAAAGGCTGGTCTAGGGGACTCAAATAAACCCGTCGGTATACTCACCTGATCCTGGGTCTGCTGGGCTGTTAGACTGGTCCACGCAGCCTCTTCTCCCCCAGGTGGTCTAAGCAACGGTGATGTCATCGCATCTTCTGCAGGTCCATTGACTTGCATTGGACCTGAGGACGCCAAGGAATATTGCATAGCAGAAGCAGTGGGAGATAGAGGTGAATGCTGTCTACTATGGGACCGAGGATTGGGTGAGTGTACCTGATTCATGTGAGCCACCCAAACATAGCAAGCACTTAACCCTTGCAGTGCTGGAGTAATGGTGCCGGGGGGGGTGTAAACTTATGAGCACAACTCTATAGAATCCTATCATCTCTCGTGCTGCAGTAAAAAGCCTTCATTATAAACAGTTATAAATAATACAGATGGATAATGTTTTATTAATCACACAGAGCAGAGAATAATAATAAAATATATATTTACAAGTTTCAAACGCCCCCCCGTACACTCCAACAGAGCCCCCGTTCACTCCCACAGAGCCAGCCGCCCCGTTCACTCCGACCCAAACCTTTACCCGGGAACTGGTTGGGAACACTCACAGTAGGTATCAAAGGCGGAGAAGATCTGCCTCTGCTCTCCGAAGTTTAGCTGAGCGCTCCTTTTCACAGACATCATCTTCACAAATTCCTCTTCCCGGATGCCTAGGGGGGGAGAAGAGATGTTTGCGTGTTATATGACGGCACAGGAGGCTCACCGACCAATGATCTGCAGTGCCTGGAGCGGAGCGCGGGGCTCCCTGGAACCAATAATTTTTCTTCTATTGATCACATACAAGTAAGAGGAGAGGAGACAGCGGGGCACCAGATCAGCAACACGCCAGGAGAACTACAAATCACATTCCGTAGGTTTATATAGTCAGTGACATCATATCTGCTTCTACCATCACAGATCGGAAAGTCTCCTAAAATAATTTGATGCTAGCATGTGACAAGTTCAAGAGTAACAAATCACATACATGGAAACAGTTGTACATGACATATTTAAATGTGACCTCCGTCCTTCCCTTTGGCCTCGTATCTGACCTCCGTCCTCCCATTCAGCCTCGTATCTGACCTCCGTCCTTCCCTTCAGCCTCGAATCTGACCTCCGTCCTTCCCTTTGGCCTCGTATCTGACCTCCGTCCTCCCATTCAGCCTCGTATTTGACCTCCGTCCTTCCCTTCAGCCTCGAATCTGACCTCCGTCCTTCCCTTTGGCCTCGTATCTGACCTCCGTCCTCCCATTCAGCCTCGTATCTGACCTCCGTCCTTCCCTACAGCCTCGTATCTGACCTCCGTCCTTCCCTACAGCCTCGTATCTGACCTCCGTCCTTCCCTACAGCCTCGTATCTGACCTCCGTCCTTCCCTACAGCCTCGTATCTGACCTCCGTCCTTCCCTACAGCCTCGTATCTGACCTCCGTCCTTCCCTACAGCCTCGTATCTGACCTCCGTCCTTCCCTACAGCCTATTATCTGACCTCCGTCCTTCCCTACAGCCTATTATCTGACCTCCGTCCTTCCCGACAGCCTATTATCTGACCTCCGTCCTCCCCTTCAGTCTTCTATCTGACCTCCATCCTCCTCTTCAGTCTTCTATCTGACCTCCGTCCTTCCCTTCAGGTCTTGCACAGTTGTACCGGCTCCTCTCCTGGACTGAAATGGCTTCCTCTGATATCACTGCACACTGGGAGCTTCTCACAATGTGCATTAGAAGCTGCAGCAAGCCGGATAGAGCTCCGCCTCATTTCGTGGCTGGATTACATTCAGCATCATCTAGCTCTTTCCTACCCAGCTGGACTGTCCCTGGCCAACCTCGGCGGACAGGAGGCTTAAGTTCGGCTTTAAAAAAATGTGTAATTGATAATGCCTTTAGCCACTTTAGGACCCCTGTATTTATATACACATCCTCATCCTGAAGTGGTTGTACCAAGATCGAGGCTGCTACTGTAACCATGATCTTGGAATCCTTTTTTTTTTGAGCGGTGCTCTCAGTGCTTCCTGCTTCAGAGATGTCAGAAGGCGGCTGAAGTTCCTGTTACACATTCCTGTGCTTGATCATCTGTATTGGAAGGCAGGGGAGACATGAAAGGTCTAATAGACCCCAGATGTCTGCATAAAGAGAACCTGTCGTCACCTCCAAACGCTGTCACATAGGGAGCTTGATAGCAATAAACCCCGCCGCCCCCGACATCTGCATGCGAATAAACACACACACGTAGGGCATGCACGTGTACGTAAACGACAATCTCACCGCACATGTCAGGTATCATTGTGAACGTTGGAGTGAGAGACGTGGTACTTACCCCCAGACTTGGATGATAACATGGAATCAACTTCCAGCTGAAAGAGCAATAACACCGTCACTATGAGTCTATACCGAGAAAACTTCTATAATAATAATGTGATATTAAAGGGAGAACTATAGGGTTAAGTCTTTTCCCCATAGTTCTCCTTAGGGTAACGGAAGGACACAAACTAGCGTCCTCCCATCACCCTAGGCTCAGTATACCGCGAGCTGTATGTCGCGGTAAACCGAGACGCCGCAGCTGAAGCGGATCCCGACAATTATGTCTGGATCCGCCCAGCTTCGTGAGTGACAGCTGGCTCCGCCTATCTAGAGGCAGAGCCAGCTGTACCCGCCCCCTCCCCCATCCGTTTCTCCAGTCAGCGCTGGAGGATCGGAGCGGGGAGGGGGGAATCCAGCCACTCCCCTATCACGGCAGAGAGCCGTGACAGGATCGAGAGGTGAGCGAACGCCGGTATGTGTTCGCTCACCTCCCGATCTACTGAGCCGACCTGTGACAGTCTCATTGTCACAGGTCGGCTAGAACTATGAGGTGAGTGAAAAGCACCCCCCTCATAGTTCTCCTTAGTGCTTCGTATGAAATGTTTATCGGGAAGAGGAGACTGAGTACACATAACAGAAAATCAGACAAAACGTGATTTTATAAACATTAGAAGTAAATGAAATTGCTGAGAAACTTAGTACACAAACCTCTAGTGACATCTTGTGGCTGAATAAGACAATTACAACTCGGAGAAAATGTGACCCCACAATTACTGAAATCTCTTATAATCTGTAACATGTTCATGGCATTTACAATATGATTACATCTTCAGCTATTAGTAATGGAATCCCTGGTGACTTCCAAATCTAGAGGGGTAATTAAACTTTCCCAGGCGAATTTGGGAAAACGGAATTACCACCATCAACCTGCCCCCTCTCCCCCTTCGCTGCTGCTCGAACCTTTAACCGAATGCTCCCTTCCCTCCGTGGCTGACAGGGTACCATCCACACTCCGTACGCAGCAGCGCAGCCCTGCACATGGAATTTCAAATTGGCGAGCACTCGTTGGTCAGCACAGTCACCTGACCTGAGAAGTGCTTCTGACCGCGCTGACCAAAAAGGGAAGCACTTCTCATTGGTCACCGCAGTGAGTGCTCGCCACTTGCGAATGAAATTCAAAATACCGAGGGCAGGGCTGCGCTGCGGTGTACGGGGTATGGATGGTACACCTGCACCAGCGGAGGGGAGGTAGCATTCACCCCAAGGTAAGTATAGCGGCGGGGGGAGGGCAAGATGGGAGGGGTTAATTCCATTTTCCCAAATTCGCCTGGGAAAATGGAACTACCCTTTAAGTGATCCCCTTTATAAGCTATTAGTTATTATAAAGAAACTTTACCCACCAATCTGTCTCCGGCTACTTTCAAGGCGTGCTAATAGTCAAGGTTGTCTGTGCGCTTGTTTCAGCTCTCAACCAAACTTTCAAACCCTCAAATGGTTGACGTCATAGCTGATCACATGTGCAGCACCATGGCAACCGCAATCCAAATAGAGGTTATGATGGCGCCTTCACCGGCAGTAAGGCAGGGGTGGGCAGCTCAGGCCCTCCAGCTGTGCTTGAACTATAAAACCCATCCCGTCTCTTCCCCCCCTGCTGTAGAGGGTGCAGCACAAGCTTTCCAAATTCCTTGATCCCTTTATCAAGCTGTAATGATCGCTCCATGCAGCCTGATGGAGGGATCTAAGGAATCTGGAAATCTTGTGTCTTTAATAATTGAAGAAAGCCAATAAAGAGGATCACTTCACCCTGGCAGTGAAGGGGTGTATACAGACTGGTACTCAAGGGGTTAAGTAAGACGAAAAATGTCTACAAGACAGCGACATGAATTACCTTGGAGGGTTTATAGCCGAACAACATGACGACGGCAACCTTGAAGTCTTCTCTACTCAGATATCCTTTCCGGCCGACATCACAAGCTGCAAATACCTGGAAAAAAACACAAAATACTGAGAGACTTCCGAAACTACAACCCCCATCATCAACACCGAGCGAGCAATACTCACCGATACGGCTCTGACATATACTACAGTGCTGTACAGAGAACAATGAACCAGTCACATCAGTCTCTGCGCCAGAGGAGCTTACACTCTAATGCAGAAATGCACTGGTTGTAGTGGGACTACAAATCCCAGCAATACATTTATACAGCAATGCAGAACAGTATATGAACTGGACTCTGGGCTTAGTAACGCGCTGGATTCTAGACTTAGTAATGCAGTGGACTCTGATGTTAGTAACGCAGTGGATTCTGGACTTAGTAACGCACTACCCCACAGTCACATCGGTTTCTGTACAGAGGAGCTTACACTCTAATGTCCCCCCCAGTCACACACTATTATTATTAGTTATGCACTGATACCAGTATTGAGTACCCTGCACAGCCACCAGGCTGGCACCCCTGAGCAGCACAGAGTATGTAGCTTCCTATTATTATGCATTGCTGTGTTTTGTAGTCCTCTATGGCTTGGGGTCAGTGGCAGAACTACCAGGGGCACAGCTGGCACTGGGCCCCGGTGCTCCACCACTGTCCAAAAATCATTGGCCTGTATTGTTTTAGGAAAACTGTCAAATGACACACAAAAAAGAAGAAAAAAAAAAAAAGGTATCGATAATCGGTATCGGCTGCATCCCTTATTATTATACATGTATATAGCTCTGACATATACCACAGTGCTGTACAGAGAACACTGAGCCAGTCACATCAGTCTCTGCGCCAGAGGAGCTTACACTCTAATGCACCCCCCACAGTCACATCTGTCTCTGCGCCAGAGGAGCTTACACTCTAATGTCCCCCCCACAGTCACATCTGTCTCTGCGCCAGAGGAGCTTACACTCTAATGTCCCCCCCACAGGCAGACACTATTTTTATACATTTATATAGCGCTGACATATACCGCAGTGCTGTAAGGCGATCACTGCACAGCACTGCTGTGTATGTCAGCGCTATATGAATGTATTACAGTAATAAATAATAGTGGGGCACATTAGAGTGTTAGCTCCTCTGGTGCAGTGACTGATCTGAATAGCTCTGTACAGCGCTGCAGTATAGGTCAGTCGCATAGCGGTGTCGGGCTCATACCGATCGGAATCTCTCGCTGTCTCCTTGCACTGACATGGCGTTGGAAAGAACTCTCGGCTGTGAGAACGCGTCACCATGACAACCAGACTTCCAAAACTGCCGCCTACAGCCCGAGATGACTCCGGATTGGTTAAATTGTACAGACGTCAAATAGGCTCGATCGTCTATTGGCTGTGGAAAAAAGAAGGTATAACCCGCCCTCTTCCCCATTTGCTGGTCACGTGATGCTAGAAGGCCGCTGTAGAGCGAATACCGCGCTGTCTAAAATGACCAGAATCGTCGGGAAGGGAAGAGTCTGTGAATGTGCCCCTCCTCTGCTATTGTGAACGCCATATAGATACTTGGCGCCCAGCAAGGGAGTATAGTTGTTAGTATTGGTAGTCGGGTTCTGACGTTGTATGGTGCGCCAAATAGTGACGTCAGTACACAGCGACCCAAGTGGAGCAGAATGAGCAGGTGACAACTGGGAGAGCAGACTGATACAATGTAACACTGAGAGATAGGGATGGAGCAGACACTGATATAGTGTAACACTGAGAGATCGATAGGGGGTGGAGCAGACACTTATACAATGTAACACTGTGGGATAGATAGGGGTGAAGCAGGCACTGACACAATGTGACACTGAGGGGATAGATAGGGATTGAGCAGACACTGATACAATGTAACAGTGAGAGCTAGATAGGGGTGGAGCAGACACTGATACAATGTGACACTGGGGGATAGATAGGGGGTGGAGCAGACACTGATACAATGTAACACTGAGGGATAGATAGGGGGTGGAGCAGACACTGATACAATGTAACACTGAGGGATAGATAGGGGGTGGAGCAGACACTGATACAATGTAACACTGGGGGATAGATAGGGGTGGAGCAGACACTGATACAATGTCACGTTTGTTAGTGTAGACATCGTGTTGAATGTTTGATGATGATATTAGATTGTGGAGGGGATCATACAATGTCCTGTTGGGACTGATCTCAGTGGTGTGAGGTGGCAGTGCCGACTTCTCTTCCTCTGGGGTTCTGCTCAGAAGTCACATTTACATAACACACCAGGATGAGAGACATATAGATTTGGATAGAGTAAGGGAGGGATATATAACTCCTCTTAAAGGAGAACTATGAGGTGAGTGCTTTTCACTCACCTCATAGTTCTAGCCGACCTGTGACAATGAGACTGTCACATTGCCATTTGTGCCCAATTGAGGAGATTTCCCTTCACTTCCTGTCTATTAGCCACAACAGGAAGTGAGAGGAAATCCCTCCAAAGTGAGGGGAAGCCCCGGTGGTCAGCGGGGTCACCAGAGTCCCCATTGAAAGATTTTCCATCTAATCATCTTCTGATGGCAGCCCCAAATTTTTTATTTTCTTTCACTTTTAGGGCTTGTTCACACCAAGCGCGGAGCAGATCCAGAGCAGAGCGGGTGCAGAACGGATCAAAACTGCGTCCAATGTATTCCAATGGTATTTTGAGCTCCAGTTCACATCGCAGTGTGCCGATCCAGAGCAGGTGAAAAAACTGGCAAGCCCTATTTTACCTGCTCTGGAACGCATCAAAAACGCATGCAAGTGCCTGAAAGCCCATGTTAAACTTAAAAAAAAAAACGCGGGAAAAAACACATCAATAACGCGGCACAACCCACTGCACTGCGTGTGCAGAAACCTGACCGGATCTGCTCTGCATTTGGTGTGAACAAGGCCTTAGTGATAACATTCACCAGGCCAAAAGGAGAGGGTGAATCTCTCTAACGGGGACATAGAGGTAAAAACCTGACAAAGGGTCTAATTCCTCCCCACTCCATCCCAAACTAAAAATACTTATGGCTTCAGTTGCATGTTTGCAGATTTAATTAAAATAATCCCAGGTAACGCTGCCGTGGAGGTCCTTGTTCAGCCACTTCCTTTTCTAGGGTGACAACGCTCTGTCCCTGTATCCCAACTGTGCTCCTGCGTTGTCACTGTGATGGCGGCTACAAGTGGGCATTTCCACACACATTACACAGGCTTTGTCTGCTGTTGTCACCATCAGGAAACCCGCCCTGAGAAATGCCATGGCAGCCATCGCTGGGGTGCATGTGAACAGGAAGTGGCTGCAGGAGATCGGCAGCACTGAGATGTATGAAAGGATGAAAAATGGTTAAAAGAAGGATTTGACCTAAAACTTATCGGTTGAGCAAACTGACTCCACTTTATAAATCGTAGATCGCTATGACAAATGCTGAAGGTTGTTTGTTCATCAATGTGCAAAGATTTCCTTCTCCCCTCGTAGCCTCCATTGTGAGCCTCGGATACGAGATCCATTATACGTCTGCAGAGACTTTCCCCCGCAGTCCAGCAGCATATGGCGAGATGAAGCTCTTCCGCAGCCTCGTCCCGGTAGCATCCCTCGTGGCCGGACAGCCGGGAATCAGAGACGCAGACAGATGTTCACATTGTAGAGTCTGCAATGCCGTGCGAGCCGCTCCCCCTTCCCCCATGTTTCATGGCTATTGTGCCGGTTCTGGAAGAATTTACTTTCTATGCAGAAAATGTCTCCGGCCTCCAATCCGCCACGATCCTCATTATTGGTGACTGACAAAAACAGGAGAGAAGCTGCTCAGGAACCCGACGAGACGACTTTTATTTCTCATTTACATTTCAACTTTATTGCCTTTTTTTTCCTCTTAGGAACCTGCACACATTTCTCTCTTTTTGTACCTCTGACCTCCGTCGTCCCCTTCAGTCTTCTATCTGACCTCTGTCCTTCCCTTCAGACTGCGTTTTCCTCACTGCCTGATTATCCCTGACCCCACCCGTTTTTAGTTCTGTTAAGGTGCCCATACACTGCACGATTATCGTACGATAATCGTATGCGATCGGGTTTTCGTACGATAATCGAGCAGTGTGAACGGAGACGTGCGATCGTTTCTACTGTACGGTCGCACGTCTTCTGTCGAACCAGCATGTTCGAAAACCAGCCGGGAATCGTACGATTCTCGGCTGGTTAGAACGGTGCTCGGAAGACAAATGCTGAACGGGCCGGTGTGCGCACGCGCACACTGCCCGTTCAGCATTGCGGTCATCGGAAGCCCGCCCCTCAGGGGGGCGGGCTTGCGATGATCGAGAGTGCGATCTGCCTGTCCAAGATAGGCAGATCGTACGTTTTTTTAATCCCTTTACAACCATCGCAAGACTAAAGTCTTGCGATGGTTGTAGAGTGTATGGCCACCTTTAGGCTCAGCATCACATGTGGGCGGTCTACATGCAAATACATCCTGACTAGGAATGCCCACTCCTCCAGGCTGACATCCACCATCAAGATATTTTGATAAGGCCAACTGCTCATATCAGGGGTGAGGACTCTTCAGAGAAGTACGGAGGCTGGGTGCTGTGATGTTTTCAGGAAGCTATGTACAGCCCCCTGCCGGCCCCTCCCACCAGCCATGATCTGCCTGCCTTCATAGGGAAGCACTAAGACCTAGTTATAACATCACTGCGTCCAAAATAATTGCGGGAATTTATCTAAAGTGGAGTAGACAGAATGTGGAGCACCTGCCTATGGCAACCAATCAGCTTCTAGCTTTCATTTTCAAAGCTTAACTGAACAAACTGCAGAGAGAAGCCAGTTGGTTACTATGGGCTACTGCTACAGATTCTGTTCGCTCCAGTCTTCATCAATTCCCCATTAGGTATGTAATGAAAATGGATAAAAAGGAGACTGAGTAAATGCTTCATCTTCCCCACAGCAGACTGATGTCACCTCAGTCTAAGCAAAGTCACTGACTGGAGCTGAGGGGCCGGCTGTTCAATGATAAAAGGTGGAGCTGTTCTGAAAATTGATACTTTTACTTTATCTTGTATGAAAGTTATATATGTAGACTTGTAAAGTTACTGACAGGTCCTCTTTAGGGCCCCTCTCTTTATCCTCAAATGACGGCTAATTTAGAACATTGGTGTAGAAAAGTGACGTCAGGTGCTCATTTTTCACGCAAGTCTGGCAATGGTCGCCGCCATGATTATGAATCTTATGCTGAGCTTGTCACATAACGGTTTTTGTGTTTCCTCCTCCTATATACTCATGCGTCGTCGTTTCCTGTCTGTGTCACAGGAGCTCTGGATCCCAGCAGAGCAGCCACGGCAAATGGACGTTGTCCAGCAGTGACGACGAGTCAGAAGACACCAAAGAACCACCTACCTCCTTACCGGTGAGCAGAGGCAGCGCGGTTCCCCCTCCTCCGTTCCCGTGCTCCAAAGCCAGGAAAGAATCTTACAAGAGGAAGTCAAATCCGGTAAAGTTTGAGGAGGCGGCGGCAGGTAAAGAGCCATCGCCGGCCAAAAAACAGAAATCGGACAAAGAGGGCGCGGGGTGGTGCCTCTCCAGCAGTGATGAGGACCCTGAGCCGAGGAAGGTGCAGAAGAAGGTGAAAGCGCCGCCACCTCAAAAACTGGAGGTGCCGAGACCGGATAAGAGCCGCAGCCCCACCCCCACCAAAAATGAGAAATACAAGACTCCCAGTGACTCTCAGGACCCCTGGGACGTCCTACAGGCCGGAGAACCGTTCCGATTCTACCTGACCAAAGTCACCGGCATCAAACCCAAGTACAACGCCGGTGCCCTTCATATTAAGGGTGAGTCACCATGACTGGTTAAATACCAACTCCAATTTTAGGGTGAGGAAGAGTTGACATTTCTATCGGGTTTTAATTTTTGACTGTGACACTCTAACAGAGAGATATCCCTTCACTTCCTGTCCCTTTGACACATACAAGAAATGAAAGGAGCAGTTGTCACCAGGACAGGAAGACCCAAAAAAGCGATATAAGCGTTGTGTGAGGTTGTCACGTAGGTGGTGTGAAAACCGGAACCGAATAAGTGTCTCTGCGCGTCATTCCTGCCACTAGATGGAGCCGAGGATCATAGGAAATTCTTATGCTCCTCGGCTCCATCTAGTGGTGGGAATTGCTGTGCGAATGGCATTCTCCCATCAAATAGCCGCGCAAAAGATTTATAAATCGTCCCGTATTTGTCTTTACGTGGGACCAGTATGAAGCAAAGAACCCAT